TCTGTCAAATAACTATTAAAATTCATTGAACATTTGAGGATAATTAAGTACAATTTACATAAAATGGGAGTAAAGTGATTTTTCGTTTCAAGTTTAAAGAAAACTTTTGAAAAGTTGACTAATTAACTTTGTTTACTTATCCATTAATTATATTTGCTTAAACGACTCTTTATAATTATTCATTATTAATATTACCAGCTATCGTTTAAACACTTGAATACCCTAGTTATAATAAATGAAATTTAAAAATTTAATTTCCTTAAATTTTGTGATTTGTAAGGTTTCTAAGGAAAAAATAGAAAAAAAAATAGAAAATTCTTCAATAATATTAATTAAAATATTTACCATTTAAGAATTAGCCATAGCTGAAGTTTTACAATCAAAAGAGAAAATGATTTTTCAGTTGAAACAAAAAAAAAAAATTCCCCCGTGACAATGCTTTTAACATTGCCGTGACCAGGATTCGAACCTGGGTTACTACGGCCACAACGTAGGGTCCTAACCACTAGACGATCACGGCTATTGGGAATATGAATATAGTTTGCCAAATGTTTAAAATCAATTTTAAGTAGAAATAAAAACAAAGAAAAGAGAAATATTTTCAAAAGAAAATATTTAAGGCCATGGAAACATTGCTAAACAAAAACAATTTTTTATTTAATCATTAACCATTGCTTTCACTTTTGTCTTTAAATAAAGAGAGAAATAAAAACCGAAATAGCATTATTATTTGTATAATTTGTTGTAAAAGTGTTTGTTATTTTTAAAACTTTGCAGTATTTTTACTACATATATTTTTGTTACCTTTTAAAATAAAAAATTATTTATATTTAAATAGATAAACCTGTGAAGAATGAATCATAATGCACTCATACATTGTAAAGAGCCCTAAGAAGACAGCAATAATTGGTAGGATTTAGAATTGAATATTAAGTAATTAATTCAAGTTGTCATTCGATAGCTACCATCCACCCAAATTCGTAAATTTTACTGTTCGTAACAATAATCGGAGATTAAAATTTAGTTGACTACATATCATATGGCCGTTTAAAGAACTAGTGTGCTCGTTAGGCTGTGATATAAAATTTCGGTTTAGAAAAAATCATACGATATATGAACGAATTTCAGTGAATATTATTGGATGAAACTTTAAAATTTTTGTTAAAAAGTGATAACATGTTAAAAAGTAATCATACAAGAGAAGTAATACTTAAAATACTTATTGAAAATACGTGCTGACGGAAATTTTTACACCAAAAATTAATTAAAAAGTTCAAACTGTGTACCTAAATTGGCATTTAATTATGTGAACAAAAAAAATTAAATTAAATTTCTAACAAAACGTCCCATCCCTGAAAACCAGTTTTCTATTCTATATAAAATATTCATAAACGTATTATGTTTGTGGTTATAATACGTAAGTATAGCATGATAACATAAAATGAAATCACAAAAATTATTCAATAGAATCTATACATGTATGTAGTAATATTTTTAGGTGGCAAAAGCTTTTCTCTGCTATTTATAAAGAAAACTTTTAAAAGCTCTCTTTGATCATAAACATTAATGTTTTAAAATCTAGTAGATAAGTTTATTTATTTCTATTTTGCAGATTTCTTTGTTTAGGTACAAACAACGAAAATGTTTACAAATGCATTGCAATTGTATTCGCGTTTTATGTTGAGCGCCGTGTTTGCAACTTAATCAAACCGCACATTTAAAATGAATAAGAAAATGTTGCATAAAATTACAATTATTTTGAAAAGTTCTTTGTAGTTGAAATGTTGCTAATAAGTTACAAAGCTTGTACAAAGCGTGTATAAAGAAAATATCTGCCGATATTATGATTAAATGACTTAACTAATTTATTTGCGCAATAGCCGACAAGCGTGCAAAATGGTACAAATTTTTATTTTAATAAATAATATCAGTTTCGTTTAGTTTAGTTATAGAGAAGTCGTTGCATTCCAAACACTGCCACCCAGCACCTGACCAACACAAGCCCCATCGGCATGCCGCCACGACACACTTTTCCCTACTAAATCTATCCAAGTATTTTAATTAATTTCAGTGGATCTCCCACTGGCGCTCCCGAAGAGTCCATCAATCCATCAAACCTCGTAAAAAGCAACTTTTCTTTCGCGTGGGGAAAGTTTATCGGCGTACTTCTCTACTCCGATGTCCCAGCATTCTCGGTTAACATCCGGCGAGGAAATGCCCAGTTTTTTTGCCATCTTTCCCAATAAACAGTGTTCCGTCAAAATGTCACCCTCAATACTGAGGTTTACCATGCTCAATGCCAGAAGACCCCTCGTTCTTGTACCGTTCCTCTTCGGCTGCAGGACTCTTGTCGTTGCACAAGTTCACTTCTTCTCCTAGTTTCCTCATCTATAATGTTTTTCAACTTTTTCAAGGACTGCAGTACTGAACGTTGCTGCAGCGGCAGTCCTCATTTCTAATCTCGCTCTTTCCTGGCCCCCTCATTTCCATCGACATTTCTGCGTTCCTGAACCCAGCACGAAGAATCTTGAAGAATAATTTCTTCGGCTTGAGCCATTTTTCTTTTAAAATGAAAATCACTAAGTGCATACAAGCTCTATTACTGGCTCTATAAATATGTGTTCATTACTCGCATTACAGACTTCAATTATAAATTTCAATTTAAGAACAAAATAAAATGTATAATAATATTGAAATAAAACAAAAGAAAAACTCAATTGGTAAAATAATTACTAAAAACCATAACTTTCGAATACAAAAACAAAAATTAAAAAAAATCAAAAAAAAAACACGCTCACACATTCTTTAGCATATTTTTTAATTAAAAATGATTAAAATTCATGAGAATTTTTAAATATTATTTTTTTTGCTTTTATTCCATCCCATTGAAAACGATGGATACGATATTACAGAATTGCCAAAAGCATTTGAAATATAAGAACATTTTTTTTTAATTTCATTTAAAGTTTTTACTGTCGCAAATTTCACGATTGTTACTTTCAGATATAGGGGCGAATAAATTTGATCCGTTTCAGCAATTATGCGAACATGTATACGATCTCAACGACGTTTATCGAAAATAATAGCCATACTACCGCATTTATCCGGGTAAAATTTCGGTAGTATGGTTTTAATAATTCCTGATTTTTTAAGTTACATGGAAGGTACCCGAACTATCATATTTAATTTGAATAGGGTACTGGCATGTGTTATTATAAATCAGCTGTGAAAATATGGGTAACTTCCCTCAATTATTGTTTAAGTTATCGCTTACTCAAGCTATACTTTTGCGAACGGATAGACAGACATTTGGCTAAACCGACTCAGAATTCGATATTGATCAGCATTACGAACAGAACGGAAAATTTATAATAGAGACTTTTCGAATATACGTTCGCATGGGTATAAATATAGTGCATAGTGAAATATAAGTACATATATACGCTTATGTTAATATTAATTTTTTCATAGTTTTTATACTAAATTCACACACATGCATACTTTCTAAATTTTATCACAGCAAGTAAGGATAATAAATTATAATAAAAGAGTGAAAATATTTTGGTTCAGCTCTCTTACTCACTCCCTCTTTCTCTTTAATTTTTATAAGAGTTTTTACCAGGGATAAAATGTAGAAAAGCCAAATCTATTTGATTTAATCTTCTTTTTTTTAATTAAATCCTCCTGATGATATTGTGATCTAATTTAAAATATATTGTTTTCTTCGTACAGTCGGATGTATATGCAAGTATGGATGTGTAGGTTAGCACAATATATACGATGCACATATTAGTTTTCTTACAATATTTTTAAGAAAATAACGAACGACTGTTTATGGTATTGTATTCATTGTCATTTTTGATATTTGAAAAATAAAATAATGGTCTGGATTAAACGTTATGGAATAATTTAATGTTAATATAAAATAAATGTTATGTATTTGACATTGGTACCATAACATTAAAGTAAAAAATAATTAATGTTATTTTTAATATTACTTCAAGATTCTCAGAATTCTCAATAATCTCTTCAGAATTACTTCAATGATCTCAGAATTGTTTTCATCGTAAAACAGTGTAAAAGTGAGTAGCTTTAAAAGAAGTTTTTAATTAGATAGATTATGAATTTTATTACGCGGGAGTAAAAATGATTAAAAAGTTGACATTAAAGCCATCTATCGACAAGAGTACGTAACCACTACCCCAAATCGAACTGTGTGTAATTGAGAGTAGATCAAATTTTTTGGAGCATATACTTGCTCTTTTATATACCAAATACTCTCTTTTTGAAATCAAAAGTGTCCCTAATTAAAAAAGAGGGCGAATATTTATAGAAGAACAATTATTCGATTTGAAAATTTTGATTCTTCGCTTGAATGAATGCAGTTTATGTGAAAGAGTAGACACTAATTATCAAAAATTAAAATTAACCACAATATACGAGTATAATGGTTATACGATTTTATGGTTTAATAAAAAATTTTTGACAATAACCAAATTAAAATTTTATTGCATGGTATGGCAAATATTTGCTCATAATTTAATACACACGCTCTTTTAATACACACTTAAATAATTTTCTAATGCTAAATTGTAGCCTATTTATCCTATATTTTTTGGTATTCATCTATAGATTCAGGTCAAATGAAATATACATACAGACACTAAAACTAAAATATATGGTGTTCTTAAATCCACTGTACTAAATCACAAATGAATTGAGATTTTCATACCGATATTGCAAATCTCATATAATATCCAAAATAATTGAAAACAAATAAATTATCGTGGTTTTTGGCATATTCGATTGACTGTAAATTTCAATAAATTAGCGTGAATGGAAACAGTTGTTATAACATTTGTAGCTATACTAGATAATTAATCAGTATATTGTATTTTAATTTAAGAATTCAGCAATAATACTATAATGATTTGTTAGATATTGGAATTAAAATTTGAGTATGATTTTGGAATTTAATGAAATATTTTTAAATTACTTACCCAAATAACAACTTGATCATCTCCTCTTCCAGCTTTTTGTCTCCATAATGGAACTGTTCTACCTTCATTTGATACAAAAACAGCATAACATTTTGATAGTTCTTCGGGTCTTGTTTTTTTCACTTGTTCACATAATTTCCATACGTTCTCTTCACTAAAAACAAAAATATAAAAAAAAGGAAACAACAAATTTATTTTTGCTCTTAATTGAGAAATATTGAGATTTTCTTATATTATGCACAAACAATTGTTCATGAAAAATGACGACAAAACGGGTCCATTTAATCAGACCCATTCTGCAACCTATTGAGAGGGTGTAGTTTTAGGGGACGTTGGAAGATCGGTTGGGCAAGTATACTATATACGGACTTTAATATAGCTACTTCGCGAAGAGGAGATTGAGGTTGTATTGAGAGTTGAAATTTAATGAGAAAATATATTAATCAATTCGGATAGTTTGAAAAATTTCAAAGACACTGCTGCGGTAATGCTGCCGAAAGAATTAGATTACCGATCGCTGGTAAATTGTTCCAAATAAAAAGTTTACGCAGGGTTTAGAGCTGTGGAATTTACTGGACCCCTCTCACTGACTCACAATAAGGTATAATATACTTCCATTACAATTTTAATTGTAAATTTTGATTAATAAGTGAAACTTATTAGTATTTCAATATAATATAAAAATCCACATAACCTTAAGTATGCATAACACACACACACATCGTCTGTAATTTAAAAATTTATTAGCGTATTCAAAGTTATACTCTATTTTAATACGGACATAAATGAATGAATCAAATTTGATAATTTATCAAAAAAAAAATATTTAATATCAAATTTAACTTCGTTCTGTCCCGCATATTTCATTTTAATAGCGGTAAGTGTAATACAAAATTTACTACATGCATATGTAAATCAAAAGTACAAAACAATGAGATTTTTATTTCGGTTTCAATACTTTCGGGCATTATATACACATATATGTGTATGATATAGCCTCACATATACTTGTATTATGCTTATATTATGTAATAATATTGTATAAAAGTAATAAAATAATAAATTACAATTGATTTTAAATAATGCATTTTATGACATAAAAATATGACATTTGACGTATGTTTAAGTTGAAAGTGCTCTTATAAATGAGTGAGATTTCAAATATTTATATTGCTATCTTTAAAACAATATTTTATCAAGAATTTAATTAATTTTTTTTGTTTTTCCACAGTACTTTAAGAGATTTGATATTGCAAAGACAAATTATACTTAATATATACATAGATCAGTATTTTTGGCATAGAGGGCGGACTTATGTTTAAAATGAAGTCTAAAGTCAACTTGATTTATTTTCTATAATATACAATTTAAATTGCTTTATGAAGTAAATCGTACATTAGTTTTCATTCCTAATGATTGTACAATCGTTCTTCAGTTGGCGGTTCGAGTTTCCGATATAAAAACCTTAACCTTATTGATTGCAAAAGACAAATTCGAATATCAGTGAGTAAGTACACAGAGAACACCATAGAACACAAGAAATAATATTGTAGTTGTAAATTATTTTACTTGAATAAAAAACGATAAAATGAACTACACTTCATGCTCTCTTCAAATATAATCAAATTTGAGTAAAATTTATGTGTGCTCGCAAAAGTTTTTTTTTTGTTTTATTTTGATTGTAATTTTAAAATTTGTTTTTCTTTTTTAGTTATTTACCGAAAACGGAATTGAAAGGGTATTTCTTAACGTGCCGGTCGTTTTAAATAGAATGCAAAATTAAAAAAAAAATTGTTATACATACTTAGTTTTATAAATTTATTTTGTGGCCAGTATACAGCGGTATTTCTCTGGATGGGTTAAAACTGATTGACCGCATTTTTATGATACGTTACAAAAAATTTACAAAAGAGTGAAATTAAATTCAAAGGAAAAAAAATTATAATAAAACAAAATAATTATTAGAAAGAATAATATAAAAATTTGAAGTTCTAAATTTTAAAATGAAATTACTTTCAATACCATTATTATTAATTTTAATTTCAAATTTTGATGCTAGCTCATTAATTAAATTAAATAATCGTCCAATTATTGGCATTTTATCACAAGAATTAACAACAAAACGTCTTTTACAATATCCAGATAAAACAAGTTATATTGCGGCATCTTATATAAAATATGTTGAAGGAGCTGGCGGAAGAGCTGTACCAATATTCATTGGAAAAAATGAAGAATATTATGAAAATATTTTAAAAAATATTAATGGTGTACTATTACCAGGTGGTGCTGTTTATTTTACTAATCGTAATGGTTATGCAGAAGCTGGTGCAATTATATATAAAAAAATAATTGAAATGAATAAAAATGGTATTTATATGCCAATATGGGGTACATGTTTAGGTTTTGAATTATTAGCATATATGTCAGCAAATAATATTGAAATTCGTACAGCATGTACATCACAAGCACAATCAATTCCATTAAATTTTACAAGAACATATAATAATAGTAAATTATTTGGTAATATACCAAAAAATATTCGATACACTTTAGAAACAAAAAATGCAACAGCAAATTTTCATAAATGGTGTATAACAGAATCAACAATGGAAAAATTTAAATTAAATAAAATATGGAAAGTTTTAAGTAAAAATATTGATCAGAATGGATTAGAATTTATTTCAATAATTGAACATAAAAAATATCCATTTTATGGTGTACAATTTCATCCAGAAAAAAATATATATGAATTTGTTAGAAATCGTAATATTAATCATGATCCAGATGTAATTTTAGCATCACAATATTTTGCTAATTTCTTTATTAATGAATCACGAAAAAATTTCAATTCATTTAGTTCAGAACTGGAAGAACAAAATTATTTAATATATAATTATAGACCAGAATATACGGCTAAAAATAATTCAGCATTTGAACAAATTTATTTTTTTGATGAAGAGATAATTGATAATTCAAATTGAATGTGATTAATATTGTAAATACTTAAATGAAAATTTTATTCTTAAAAAAGAAATCTTATCTGTATACTATGAAATTTTGATAATATTATACATATAACAAATAGCAAAAATTATTAATACTTATTAAGATTTAAAAATACTAATAAAATTAATTTGTTTAATGCAGAGTTTTGTTGTATTATCATGCAAGGCGAAGCAGTATTTACCCATGAAACATTTTTCACAATTATGTTGTTTGGTGGTATGAAAGAAAGAAAGTTTGATATGCTAACATTCATGCAAAATGTTTGAATGTTGTAAGGCAATTTTTATCTTTGGACGCCAGCCATTTTAATCATTGATCATAGAAATCGAATGAGCGCCAATCTATAATTCAAATCGATTTCATTTCATTTCCAACGTCCTATAGAAGATCAAAATTAACAGCTAAACGAATTGAGTTTTTATATTTCATCTCTTAGTCAACGAATATTTAACTAATTAAATGATTATTAAGAATAAAATAATTATTAACATTCTTATATACATCTTACATTTGTTTGTTGGACTTAATTTCTTTATTATTAACTAAGTACAATTACTTTGGTTAATTATTTAATGACATATTATTTTTACGTTGTGGCAATCATGAAATTGTTTTATGTATAGGGTGTCGTAAAGTTTTTTTTATCAAAAAATCAATGCTTATGGCATTAACATTTATGTAAATGTGACGTCCGAAGTTGTGATTTTACGAAATGCCGATTTATTGAGCAGCACTATCCGCATATTATGATATTCGAAAATGTACGTCACTGATTTCAAATCGAGAAATGTGTTCCTGCAAGTGACTCGGCAGGAAATATTCTAGAGTTATGAATTTACGTACAGTCAAGGACTGCAAATAGTATCTCGTTGAGCAAATAATCTGGAAATGGAGAATTTCGTCTCCAAAGTCACTTTCGTTTTGTACTTTATATCCAAGTTCGGCAGATTTTTTAATCAACAAAGGTTTTGGAGAAAAAAGGGTTTCGTTGTAAGTGATTTTACAAAATTATTAAGTCGGACGATTTGATAGCATTGATCAAGTACGAGTCTTTTCATTATATTTTAACTACCTCGCACAATTTAACCCTCTCTTATAAGTTCTAACCGAAATACCCTCTCTTATAAAAGTAAAACCGAAATACTTTATATATACCTTTAAAATTTTTTATAACACAACTAGAAGTTTTATACTAACAAGGCGGTATTAATGATAGTAAACTACATTGTTTATATCGTAAATTTTTACTATGAGGAATCTTCCGCTTCATATTATATCTGTAAGTAGCTATACATGTGAATTTAATTTTTTTGAAAAAATGATTTTCAGTTATACATACACACAAGCACAAATATTTGTGTTGTGAAATATAAACACGTACAGGTAGACAATAAATATAAGCGTAAATAAAATGAATAAATTGTTCATTTCTCTTTTAGTTTTTGTTTTTAACAAAAACAAAGAGTAGGTGTGTTCAATTTAAATATTTTATTAGTATAGTATTTTTGCCTCTCATTTTTCTTTCACTTTTATTTTTTCACTTCCTTATACTCCTTATAGCATTAAAATATTTTCTTAGAATCTAAAAGGTCGTCACTTCTCGAATTTCTTATATACAAGGATAATAAATCAACCAAATTATTTTCTGTGCTACCACCAAGTTAATACAATTTTTTGTTGTTCCTCTTTTCTTTCGTTTTTGGTTTCTGAAACAAGTTGCTTTTTCTTTCTTTTTAGAATTTATGTTTTTAATGTATTTAATTTTATATTGGTTATTTATTATAACAATAATATACTTACTTAACATAAATATGACTCTGTTTTATATTTAACGCGTTCTTTTTTGCGTGTGTACACTATTCAGTTGTACATTTAAGTATGATACCATCAAGCAGTGAAAAGAGAGGCTAAACAAAGAATGGTGAATGTATGTACTGACAAAGTGCTTGAATATTTTAATTTTGAACTTAATGTCAAATTATTTTCATAAATTAAAATATAATTATTGTTTTAAGTCATAACAAGAACACTATACGTAGTTTTGTATAGCAGCGCCCAGCCAGTTTCATCGATATTTTGTGTAAATCTAGAGCTGACTGCGTGTCGCAATCGCAAGATTTCGTGCGGTATCTAGATAATTTTCAAGGATTTCACAGGCCTTTCACATTGCCAATACTTTCGCTTGTAATACTCTTGTTGTTCTCTGTTGGGAAAACGACATAGTTCCGATATGCCTTCTTAAATTTAATGGCAGTCGCAGCCTGATGTTTAACGTATTTATCCAATATATGAAGACGGAAGGATTCATTCAAAGAATCCGTATTGTACAACCTTAGAGGACGACCTAGTTTTCCTGATACGTGCTTTCCTTTGTGTTCTACCAATCTTGTTGCAATCATATGCCCTCCCAGATACTGGCTACCGCCTATTTTAAAACACTCTATACACTAAAAATTGTTTATAACACAATAAAAAGTTTTATATTAACAAAGCTTCCAGCGCATCATAGGTAAGTATCGGTCGACAATTCCGAAAACAACATTTGTTTTTAGGTTCATAAATACAAGTGAAATTGCAATGCACTCGAACTATATTTTAGGTACACATACGCGCTAAAGCTTTACTGGCATTTAAGACATACTCGAATAACATTTTCAAGAATCTTCAATGATCTAGCAAGCAATTGATTTGCGATAAGGTTTTTGTTATCATAGCACTTGCAAGTTATTTTTAAATTTTTGTTTTTAAGCATTTAAAAATTCATTATCAACTTTGAATACATATTTTAATTACTTTATAATTCTAAAATGGTTAATTCAAATCGTAAAGGTTAATGAGCCTGACAACATGATTATTTTGAAATTTTCAATTGAAATAAGTTAAGTGAATTTATGTAATTCGTTCTTATACCCTATTTGTTGGATTTGGCTTAATTTCCAAATAAAAATTATAATTTTGTTACCTTTTAATATCACCTAAAAGTAATTTTGACTGAAATTTTAAAATAATTAAATTGGATAGCCTAAATACATGCACTAATACAAATTAAATTGAATAATTTTATATAACTGCAGTACAAATTTTAGTACTTTGTGAACGAATTTGGCGTTGGTGGCAGGAGTGTTGGGATCGGCCGTTGGAAATGAGGCAGGTAAACCTTTCCGTCTCGTGGTCCGTCTTTCTGAAAGGCCAGTGAAGTGTTGGCGTCTAATAAGAGGGAGACAAAGTTGGTGTTCACCCCCTAGGGGGATTCCACTTGTCGTGGTGGGGAGGCTTATGTAGGACTAAAGAACCCAAGAGCGATGTCGGTGAATACTGTATATTTTATACGTGAGGGAGGTCTGAAAAACCAAGAGAATCCCACAACCCAACTATTATGAAGGATGTCTGAAAGGAGTGTTCAAGTGTCATCTGGACCTACGACGGGCGGCCAGGGCTTGGCCCCAGGTGGGGCTAAGTCGCCAGTGGGACCGTACTTCAAGGTGGAAACAGGCATTGAAGAACATAATGCTACTGAATGGAATGCAAACGAAGAGATGCGGTAGGTACCGGAGGCCGAAGGTGTGGCTGTGGGTACCCAAACCCTACGTTGCAGCGGAGAAGGTGCTCAGATTACTGATTGCACAGAATCAGGAGCTTGGGGTTGAGGACTGGACTGTGGTTAGGGAGAAGCCTCGGAAGGAAACTGGACAACACTTCCTTTTGAGCACAAATAGAAAATCGGTGCCCTATATAGAGAAAAATGGCGGATTGGTAAGGGGAGAAAACGGAAAAGGGTAGAATACGGGGCCGGAGGCTTAAGGACTATGTCCTGTATTACAAAATCGGAGTAAGTAGACAGAGATCTTGTATTTTCGCCAGGAAGGCCTTCGATACCAATTACCCAATAAGCCGCCCTGCAAAGTGTGGTAGGCCACCATGGTGGTGTAACGATATTAGTGAATCCAGAAGGAAAGTGAGAAGGCTACATAATTTGGCGAAGCGGGAAAGAATCCCATCCATGTGGGAAGAATATAAGAAGGAACTGAGGGCTTTTAAGTACACAATAAGGAAGATCAAACGGAGGTTTTGGAGGAGCTATTGCACGTCATTTTAAAATACCAATGAGGTTGCAAGATTAAGGAAACTATAATCGGGGGAGCCCCTGGTACTTGGTTTTGTTAAAAGAGATGATGGTACTCGGGCTGGCTCTAGTATAGAAACGTTGGGGGAGCTGATGGAGGTTCACTTTCCGGGTTCAATTCCCGAGGAAAAAGGAAGAGCAAAAGCCAAGGGAGAGGAACGGAGACTGTACGAGTTTTAGGTAAAGAAATTTTTACGGGGGAGAGGATACAGCGGGCTATTAAGTCTTTTGGCCCCTACAAGTCTCCGGGAACGGATGAGGTGTGGCTTATTATGTGGCGGAGGGCACCGAGAGTGATCATTGATTGGTTGGTGGTAATTTTTCGTAGCTGCCTGTATATGGGGTATGTTCCTAGAGAATGGGGAGAGGTAAGGACGGTTTTTCTGCCGAAGCCTGGTAGGAGTGGTCATGTCAGCGTGACGGATTTCCGGCCAATCAGCCTGTCGTCTTTTGTGATGGGGACCATGGAGAGGTTAGTGGAAAAATTTAAAAGGAATGAGGAAAGGGAGTCGGGTCTGTCAAATGACCAGCATGCCTACAGAAGAGGGAGATCTGTGGAGACGGCGCTGCACGCGGTGGTTACGCAGGTGGAGGTGTCTCTGCAGTACAAGGAGTATACATTGGCTACTTTCTTGGATGCTTTCAATAATGTAAAGGTCGAGGCTATCGTGGGGGCTCTCGAAGATGTAGGAGTAGAGGAGGGAATAATCAGATGGATAGAGCAAATGCTTACTACTAGGGTGGTTTTGGCCGAGTGGGGCCCAAGTAGGGTGAGGATGCTGTCGGTGAGAGGCACTCCTGGGAAGGGGGGGGGGGTCCTGTCGCCATATCTGGGTCCTGTTGTGGAGGGTT